ATGAGATTCCAACTCAGAAAAAAAAAAAAGAGAAGAAGAGTTAGGGGGTCAGGGAAGCTCTCCCACCTACCTCTTCCAGTTGGCTCTGAGACCTTTGGGGGTTGATCTTAGCCAGATTCTTGCTGCTTTCCTTTTCTCTGTGCACCCTAGCATCCTTGCATGGGCACTCTGGCAGTTCCAATTTCCTCTTCCATTTTCCATGCAAAACTCAGGCCTTCACTAGCAACCTCGATCTTCCTTCTGAGAACTGGTGTGCAATGGCGCTAGTCAGTCATCTTGGGGTTAGAAAAAACTGCTGTGAATATTTGTGTTTAGGTTTTTGTGTGAGCATCAATTTTCATGTCTCCAAGATAAATGCTGGAGTATACCTTCTGGGTTGGATAGTATGTGTTTAGTTTTATAAGAAATCAGCAGTGTATGAGAGATCTAGTTTCTCAACATCCTTACCAGCGTTTGGTGTTGTGACTGTTTTCCATTTCAGCTGTTCTAATAGGTGTGTGGGAATATCTCGTTGTGGTCTTAATTTGCATTTCTCTCATAGCTAATAATGCATCACTTCATGTGCTTATTTGCCATTCATAAGTCTTCTTTGGTGAAATAAATATCTTTTCAAGACTTTTGTCCATTTTCTAATTGGGTTGTTTATTTCTTTATTGAGTTTTGAGAGTTCTTTATTCTAGATACTACTCTTTTGTCAGAGACATGGTTTGCAAATATTTTCTCCCAGTTTGTAGCCTGTCCTTTAATCCTTTTAATACTCTTTCATGAAGCAGAAGTTTTAGTTTTGATGAAGTGTAACTTATCATTTTTTTATCTTAATGGACCATTTATTTGTTACTATGTCTAAGTTACTACAAATATCATGTATTTGCTACATTGTCTAAGGACTTTTACCAAGTCCTAAGTCCTGATGATTTTTTTCTGCATTATCTTCTAGAAGGTTTTGTTGTTGTTGTTTTGTTTCATACTTTACATTTAAGTCTATGATTAATTTTGAGTTAAGTTTTGTATAAAATGTGAGGTTTAGGTTGAGGTTTTTCTTTTTTTTTGGCCTATGACTATCCAGTTGTTTCAGCATGATATTGTTAAAAAGGCTAAACTTACTCATATTGGCTACATTGTGGTAGTTTGTGAAATTGGCAGTTTCATCTAATTTGTCAAGTTTATGTTGTTTGTAGCATTCTCTTATTCTTTTGATGTCTGTAGGGTCTATATTAATATTCTCTGTTATATTCCTGATTTTTAAAATATTTCATTCCTCATAATGTATATCTTCTCTTCTCTGGTCAGTCTTGTTAGACGTCTGTCCATTTTGTTGATCTTTTCAAAGAACCAGCTGTTTGTTGCATTGATTTTCTGTATTGCTTTTCTGATTTCAGTTTAATTGATTTCTAGTTCTATCTTTATTATTCCTTCCTTTTGTACAACTTTATTCAAAAAGCGTAATGAAGCAAAGTATGCCATTGTTGAAAAATACATATGATGTCAGTTCATTGCATTTTCCAGATGTGTATAAATAACGATTATGTAAGTGTAGAAACTAACATTTACAGAGATTACATCAAAATAAATTCCCTCTGAAATTAGGTATGGAGACTGATTGGTTCTTCTGGCTTGTGGTGTTGCGTAATGGCCACGAATCATTTCTATAACCTAGGTTCTTATTCTAAACAGATTCAGAAACCCCCTGAAATTCAGTTTGACCCCTGTGACCTCAGTATGATCAGTACCCACTTGTTCCCTTACTTCTTTAGGCTCCTGATAGTGGCCCTGGTGAGCTGTTAAGTAGTTGCTCAGAAGACAGAAGCTGTTGGGATGGGGAGTGGGTCTTGGAATTTACCATAAACAATTAGGAGTTAGCTGTGCTGCTTAACCATGGCTAATTTCAAGTCTGTGTATAAGATAAAAATGAATATAACTACAAACCCAAAGACAGGTCAAAGCTTTCCATGAATCCAATTTATCTTTTTAAATTGGTGTATTGTGCTTGATATTTTACAACGTAATGACAAAACATACAATTTCCTTTCTGTTAATGCACAAACTACATAATATTTTTCTTAGTCTCTTGAGTAAGTGTTGTGATTCATAAAGGACATAATTTTGGCAACCTAAAGATATGATTATGGGATTATTTCATCTGGTGAACCTTGTGTGTGTTCTGAGCGCATTGTGGCAGCATGGTGACAATCCTCTTGGAGTCCCCAGCTTCGAATGACGTACACGTGAAGTAGTGGTGATAGTGTGGGGTGGTAGAAGGGCAAAAACCCATGTGGCCAAATGAACTGGTAGCCCTCGCACTCCAGAGTGCAGTAATATAATCATTCAGGAACAAGTAAGAATGCTCTACTTGGGATAATCCCGTTAGACTGAGCATTTACAATAAAGCTCTTTGTAAGATAATATAAGAAATAAAGACAGGGAGAAGCCCTGAGCTCTTTATGTAATAGCATTTGTAAGTGGATATTTCAAAAGAGTTTAAAGATGACAACTTGTAATCAAAGGCATATCCTATAAGAGGATGAGTTGGGGCTCTGGGGTCTAATAGCCTGAGTTGAAACCTTGGCTCCATCATTTCTACCTTTGTGACCTTGGGCAACTTATTTCACCTCTAAACCTTGGTTTCCTCACTGATTAAATGAGGATGATCTTGTATAAGGATAAAATGTGATAATAAATAAATGTGATAAAGAATGATACCATCAAATGTACCATCTGGCACATGATAAGAACCTAGTATATTTTAACTGTTATATTATTTTTACTACTCATAACACTGCAACTTCTACTATTACTATTATTATTGCTATTACTCAAGAGACAATGAGCCTTACATTAAAGGAATCTGGCTTGTATATGTAGTATTTGTTAGTTTTCAATGCTATAGTAATATAGAGAGTTGGGTTTAAGTCACATTCTGAACATGTAACTGACTAAAAAGTACCACCTTAAGTGTCACCTGAGCCTAGGATGTCAAGGCTGTGAGCTGTGATTATTGTGAGCTGTGATCATTGTGATCATTGTGATCATGTCACAAGTACCACCTTAAGAAACATCATGTTCTCACTTACATAACTCAGGGGATATTTATTAGTAGCATGGGAATTTGGGCATTATCTAGCACAATGTTTCTCAGCCTTTTTTCATTATTGTCCCCATAAGGAACCTTAAGCAATGTTTTCCCAATTACTTCCCCCAGTGAAAATGTAATGCCACAGATCTGCTATATATCTATGTATGTACCATGCCACTTTGGAGGGCTATCAACCACTGTAATATCTAAGGGATTTTTTTCCCACAAAAACCAATTTTTGTACTTATGAGGATAATACTGCCCTCATTGAGAATATAAGATGTGATGCAGTAACTTTCAACTGAAGGCAGTTTGCCACCTCCCCACCCCCACCCCCAGGAGGACATTTAGCAATATCTGGAAATGTTTTTAGTTGCCACAAGGGTACGGGGCATACCTGGGAGGAGTGCTATGGCTATCTTGTGGGTGAAAGCCAGGGATGCTGCTAAACCTCCTACAGTGCACAAGATGACTCCCCGCAACAGAGAATTACTGGCTCAAAAACTCAATAGTCTTGAGTTTGTGAAACTCTGTTCTAACATGATAGTAAAGTTCAAATCCACTCTGAATAAGTGAGAAACTGTTTGAAAAGGTGAAAGTGGACTATGTCAACTCAAAGGCCATGAGGTAAAGGGAACTGGGTTCTTGACCTTCAGGTTGATCCTGTTAACAATGTGGTTTGCTTGTCTAGAAGAAAATGCCATCTTTGTCTTCTTAAGTATAGTTGCTGTTTTCAATATCATGCTGTTTGCTTTCTGTCAAATATGTGTAAACATATGTGTAAAAACTTCAAATAAGTGTTTAGTTACAATTTCTGTTTTTATTTTATTTTTATTTTATTTTTTTGAGTTGGTGTCTCACTCAGTCGCCCAGACTAGAGTGCAGTGGCCACTCCTGGCCGCTGCAGCCTCGACCTGCTGGGCTCTGGCGATCCTTCCACCTCAGCCTTCCAAGTAGCTGGAACTACAGGCACGTGCTACCATGCCCAGCTCATTTTTTTGATTTATTGTAGAGATGAGGTCTGGCCAAGTTGCCCAGGTGGATCTCGAACCCGCGGACTCAGTCAATTCACTCACCTTGGCCTCCCAAAGCATGGGATTACAGGCTGAGCCACCGAGCACGGCTGTTTTTTATTTTTATGTGGGTATATCTTGCTTTATAAAAAATGAATTCCTGAAAAATTATGTGAATTCATTTTCAGTGAGATGCATTTATCCTCTGATTTTATTACATTATATTTCAAGAGGCTCATCTTCATTCCTAATCAACCCTCATTTGATGTGGCTCCTAACATTGTTGCTTTAAATTTCAATTTAGCAGCCTCTCTGCTCCTCTGGGTTTTAGGTAATGTGGACAATTTAAGAGAGGGTATGGATTCATATTGAAAGTGAGACAGCTTATTATTTCGTGGACATGGTCCAGGTCATGTGCCCCGAGCTCCTGGCTCCCCTGTTGTCCCCGTCACACTCACATTCCCTTCTTCTGCTGCCCAGAGTTGGCGTCGAGGAGCCCTCCGAAGAGGATCGGAATGAACACTGCTGGCAGTACTTCAGGTGACACAAGGGCATCCTCAGAAAAAATTAACTGGGCCTGACTTTTCTCCTCTTTCTAACCTCAGATATTTCTTTTTATGCTGTTTTCCTCTTTCTTCCTTCCTGTATGTGCCAGTCTCCACCCCTTTTAGTAAAGAGGCAAGTGGTTAAGTCAATTCTAATTATGTTTTCCACTGGGTTGATTGATATGTCAGTGTTCCTAGGATTCTGTCTGCTTTCCCACATTTTGGACAATGTGTTGTATACACCAAAGCCTGAGTTGGAAAATGTCTCCGTGTTGTACAACTGAGCTTAGTGTTAAGAGCAACTTAATTTCAGAGTCACAGACACTTTTTCAATAAAACTCCGCTTAAGATTTAGTATATAAAACTTTTCATTCATAAAGAGAATTCCATATTTCAGCTATGACTGGGGCAAGCCTTACACCATCTTAATTAAATGCCACTGCTGTATAGTTTTTTGTTTTGTTTTTGTTTTTGTTTAGTTGGAGTCTCATTCCGTCACCCAGGCTGGAGTGCAGTGGCACATGTGCTCACGGCCACCCCAGCATCGACCTGCTGGGCTCAGGCGATCCTTCTGCCTCAGCTTTCCAAGTAGCCGGAACTACAGGCTCATGCTACCATGCCCGGCTAATTTTTTTTTATTTATTATAGAGACGAGGTCTCGCCAAGTTGCCCAGGCTAGTCTCAAACCCGTGGGCTCAGGCAATCCACTTGCTTCAGCCTCCCAAAGTGCTGGGATTACAGGCTGAGCCACCGAGCCCGGCCAGTTGTAGTTTCTTTAAAGAATATATTTATGTTCTTATGCCTTATCATGGTGAATCAGAAGATATGAAGAACATTTTTTAGCCGAAAGGATAAAGATTCCTCTAATGCAATTTTTTTCTCAGTGTCCTTCCAAGTTTATGATATAAGTATGTTCAAGGGCGATGATGTCAGAGTAAAAACTTTAATTTTTCTTCTTTTCTTTCTGTATTGATTAGCATGCTTTCTTGCTGACCCATTTCTTGGTGCTGGTAGATAAATCACTTGTAAAATAGGCTTCAACTCTGTTTTTGGCATTGTGAAAATACCAAAAAAAATATTTTAAGAGATGCCAAAAAAAATATTTTAAGAGATGTCCGCCATGATCAGAGGTGTCTGGATGCTGATGGTAACCACTTTGAGCACCTCTTGTAACTGCAGGAATCAAGTGTATATATATATTTGGCACCCTCTATATTTCACTCCCTGCGGGCAATGGTGAAAGCACCAATACCTGGAATGGGGCACGGATCTTGGGATATCACCAGATCCCAGGTGTAATGACATGCATGAAATTAATTTAAGTATGTAAGCTCACTGGAATCACACTTTTTTCTCTTTAAAACACACACACACACACACACACACACACACACACACACACACACACACACACACACCCCCATATAAGTTCATCTTTGGGGACTGACTTTAGGTGCCAGTTAAGTTGCAGAAGAAACCCTTCCCTTTGAAATATCTCACCTTCAAGAAGGAAGTTCCTTCAGGCAAAGTGTAAGTTATTGCTCTTGGGACATGAGAGAACTCAGATTATGATCTGGTGTTTAAAGTTTTATTTGAAGGTGTGTGTCTCATATTCCGCAAATTATTCAAAACCATGACCATTCAGATTTTTTTTGGAAAAAAGTTACTAATTGAAGTAGAGCACTTCTGAAACTTCTGAAACTTCATGGTATTTTATCTGTTAATCAGAATGGACATATCATTATACCATCAGGGAAATTATTAATTTTTGGTGTTTATAAATTCCAGAATGAGCACATCAGTTTGATTGCTTTATTTTCCCATTTGGTGTGGGATTTCACATTTGTATCATTCCTAATGAAAATAAGAATATTTCTGTTCATTCTGGAAGCAAAGACTGACATATGTGCTCTGATGAACCCAGCCCTGGATTGCAGGAGAACGTATCAGGGGAATGCTAAAATATGACATAATAAAACAGCATAAAAAGTTCCAGTGTCCTGGATCAAAAGCATTATAGCAGGTCAGGAGAGAAATATATAACGTGGACAGTTGCCTGAAACTAGAAATTTCAAAAAGTTGGAGGACCCTCAAGTCTTCTAAGGCTTTAAATCTGCAATTAAAATACTGCACCTAGTCTTTCTTGCTGTCCAACCCCACACCGAAACACCCTGGCCCATTGCTTTGCTTCCTGTTTCCAAAGACCAGTTTGGTTCTGGGATCTGCCCCAAGGGTGGGTCCCTTTGTAGGGAGCCACAGTGTCATCCTTGGGGATTGGTCCAAGGGGGCTCTCAACCCTGCCAGAAAAGTTATTATTTAATTGCCCTAAAGTAAACAGCCTTGAATGGGGAAAGAAATTGCAGAAGAACGTCATTTGTGTCTCATGCCCTGGTCTGCTTTTTTGTTTGTTTATTTGTTTAAGCCGTATCAAGCTGAGCAGTAGGTCTTTGCTTTCCTGGAAATCTATTCAGCACTTATAGCAGTAATGAGGCCCTCCAAGAGACTCCAAGGGGCTTTCCCACATTCCTCTGTCTGTGGGAGGGCCCAGGAGGCCCTCTGTGCTGTCAGGAGTTTGGGCTGCAACTCAGACAGATGGTTGATAGTAACTGTCTGCATCAAAGGTTAGAATTTCTGTGGCAGAAGGGTGGTAAAAGCAAGGAAAAGGGAGCATTGGGTAGGACTGCCCTCAGAACTACAGATTTCCAGTGGATGTACACAACCAGATCTGAAGATGGCTGCATTGATCAGAATTTGATTAACTGTATGTCTCAGTTAACTAGCATTTTTCTCCTTGCCTTTCACTTTTAGGAAAGGGAAAATATCAACAAAACATTCTATGATTTGCCTAGGAAAAAAACCCACATGATTACTCAAATCTATATCTACTTATTTGTCAATTATCTATATTTACCTATTATAGCATCCTATGTCCATGAATCCTTATAATTTGTGATTATAATTTGAACATGAATTGTACACACACACTGGATCCAGGATCCAAACAAAGTTTACTTTGATTATCAAGTCTCTTTAGTTTCTCTTAATCTAGAACAGTCCCCATCCCTTAGTTGGTCTTTTATGACATTGGGTTTTGTTGTTGTTAAGTATTTATGATAGTTGTCTTGCAGGATGTCCCACAGTCTGGATTTTTCTGGTTTTTTTCCTCATGACTAGAGATAATCATTTTTGCCAAAAATTCTGTAAAAATGTTAGACATTTCTTGGGGCATCATATCAGGTGATGTATATTGTCAGACTGCCCCTTTATTAGTGATGTTACATTTGATCACTAGTGACCACAGGTCTCTCTACTATAGAGGTACCATTTTCTCTTTGTAATAAAAGAGTAGTCTGTAGAATGATCCTTTGATATCATGTGAATGGTCAGATTCCTTACAACCTTTCACCCAGTGGTGCAATCATCTACTGATAATCCTTGCTTGAAACAACTATTACACTGCAGGGTGGAAAATAGGGATTTTCTAATTCTGTAATTCTTTCTGCATTTATAAGGTGACATTCATCTGTAAAGAAGAGCTTTAAGAGGCTTTAAAAAGTTTTATACTGAAGTGAGGTATATAAAATTTATGTAGTGACTCTCAATTGTCTAAATAATTAGTTTGGGCAAAGTTTTACTTAATATTTCTAGGACTTGGAATTGTGTCTCTGCAGGATTCCAACATGAATCTTGGCTGTTAGCATTGAAAAGGCAAAGAGTTAGCTGACAGTTTTACTTTTTTAGTAGAGAAAAAAGTGATGCTAGAGAGACATAGCTGGAATTCATACTTTCTAGAATCTGTACTGTCCAATTCAGTAGCCACTAGCCACATGTCTATTTAAATTTTAATTCGTTAAAACTAAAATATAAAATGCTGTTCCTCAGTCATACTAGTCACATTTCAAGTGCTCAATAGCCACGTGTGGGTGTCTAGTGGTTACCATATTGGACAGATAGAGAATGTTTCCATCATTACAGAACATTCTATTGGCCATGCAGATCTAGAAATCACTCTCAATTTCTCCAGAACAAAATAGTGAAACTCATGAATTTGGGATGAGATTATAGTATACCTAACTTTATAACGTTGCCAAGTTATTCCAAAGTTTTGGGCTTTGTTTTAAATTCTGGCCTGGCCTTGTGAGCCCAGGATGAATGGAAATGTCCACTGACATTTCCAGGATTTCAATGAAAATAGTCAAAACTTAGCCTTGATAAGCAATTCTTGTTAAACATAATCATTTTAATTCTTGTTAAATATATTTTTTCTCCTGATAGAGAGAAGTTAAAAGAATAAGGGGACTAAATTTCATTTGGCAACTTTTACTGTATTTTACTTTTATTTTCTTCATTGTGGTACAGGGAATACTTAAGCCCTGTTTCCCCTCTCTATAGGCTTCCTATTTCATCTGGGCTGATAAAGTCAGTTTGTTTTATCTTTACTGACATGGAAGGCACTCACAAAAGCTAATTCACTGCTTTCAAAATTATAGTGCAAAAAGAAGAGCTTATGAGTAACATATGGGAACCACCACATTCTTGACCATGCTGCACTTCATGCCCTTCCATAACCTTTCTGGAGTTAGACAGAGGGCAGCTGTGTCACCTGGTATTCTGGTAGGCCATCTGAAAGACACTGTAGTAACCAGCACTCTGTCCCTCTGAGTCTGTACCTGAGAATTCATCTTAAGTAAAATGTACTGGCATGAAGTGACTTTGTCAAAAGATCTCTGTGAGATTTGTTGCTCAAAAGTCCCCAGATAATGTCCAATTGTGAGGACAAGCCTCCAGCCCTCAGAAATCCCTGCCTAGAAGGTAGCCTTTAGACACATACAAAGTCCATCTAATGCAGTACAAAGATCCCATCAAACCCCAGGCCCACGGGGAGAAAATGTAGTGCTAGGCACATTACGGGTTTTAACTAATTGTTCAGAACAGTGCTTGGCATAATAGACTCTCAATAAATATTTGCTGAAATACATGAGAGTTTATCTTGCTGTTTAAACGTTGCCTTCAACACAATATGGGGTGACTGTTCCTTTTTCTTCTCTTTTCTGTTATGATCCGAGTAATACTTGGCTGCTCCCCTTGATACCAATAAATCATAGGGGCAGGGAGCTGGTAGAAAGTTTATTTCTGAGTTTGAATCCAGGCAGCAGAGCCAGACTCGAGGCCTTTCTAAAATGGTTCTGCTCAACCCCCAGGCTTTTACAGTTCACTTTTATAAGTCCAGAGTTGTTAGTACCTATACATTAGCCACGTGACCAGCAGAGCATTATGTAGAACCTGAGTTTCAGCCACATTTATTGACAGTGACATTTTTTGGTCCAGACTTCCTGGTGCCAGGTATCAGAGGTATCTCATAGCTTTTATCAGTAGTGCCCTGCAGAAGCGGTAATCAAGCTTGCCATGGAGTAAAGGGCCTAAGACATCATGCATTACACAAAAGTTATATAAATCACAAAACTTATGATATACATTGATACAAAAGTTACATAAATCACAAGGCTTAAGGTTACATTGATACTATATTGTTCAAACTTATAACCACTCAGAAAAAGGGAGTAAAAGATTTGCAACTTTCAGTTGATTGGGTGTAGACTACAGGGAAGTCAAGGATCCCTGGAAGCTACTTACCGGGAGTGCATAGGAGTAAGGGGGAAGCGCACCTTTTATTAACTCTCAGGAATATTGTTCAGTAATGTACAGGAGTGCTTGTGCCCTTGCCATGCCCTTCTCTAGGGGCTGGGACAGTTCCCCCTTTCCAGGGGCACACACCTTTGGTTAGTGCTCAACAAGCCTGGAATAAGATAGAGTCGAGGTTGACTTCGGGAGGATAGGTGCATCTGTGTCATCTTCTATTACCCTTTTCCATTAGTCTCTTTTCTCAAAAAAGACCTTGGGCAGCACAGGTGAGGGAGAGGGACGGAAGGAAAGGAGAAAAAGTCAGGGTGTACACACAGAACTTTGTGTGTCCATCCACTGTCTGCTCATTGGAGTCAACGCCCTGGTACCAGACTGCAAAGAACACCCCTGTAGAGCCTACTCAGCACCTCTCTTCAAGCTCAAATCAGGCCTAATCTGCTGACAGCTCTGTTCTCAGTATACCTTGTACAACTTGTTCATTCTTTGTGACCCTGGAGGGAATGAGGGGAGATGTAGGAGTTTTTTGGCATCTTTGTTCCCTTCCCCATTGCCCCACCTTGTCTATGTCATCCAGGTCACAGTTGTCTACCTCATAATGGGGAAGGTGCAGGGATGAAAAAATGAGCAGATGCATAGCACACCAATTGGTAGTTGGTGTGTTACTAAGCCAAGACAACTGCCCTAGCGCTTTTATTCACTTGTTCTAAGTGAATCTTGACACTTTGCTTTTACATTCTGTCTTCGCTTGTTGCTTTCAAATGTCTGAGTTCTCAGGTCAACTTTCATGCCGGAGAGTGGGGGAGGGCACCAGGATAAAAAGCAGGTCCGGACTCTAGTTAATGATATTGTTAAAGAAAATATTGTGATGCTTGTTCAAATGGTAAGGCAGACATGATTTAGGACCATGGAGATCAGTGGAGGGACCACTACAATGGGATTTTGCAGTAGGGGGCAGAGATAGGGGTCAGAGGATGGAAAATTACAAAGAAAAGACTCAGAGGTAAGGGGAATTTTGCCAAAACTGACCTAACAAGATTCTTGGTCAGGGTGATTAGGCCTCGGGCATCATGAGGAGCCTGATCAGACATTGAGGGTGATCAGATATTGAGGATAAGGAGTTCTGGCCAAACCAGCTTAGCAAGATTCTTACTGAAATTGGACGAAGCAAAGATGGATATGGAAGCCCAAAATTCATAGCCTTAGTTGGGAAGAGGACTCAGGAACCTGACTAAAGTTTGGTCAAGTAGAGACTCTTTGTCAATATGCATGCTGAAGTATTTAGGGGAAATATATTGATGTCTGCAACTTTATTTGAATGCTTCCAGAAAAATAAGATGGGTGATAGAGAAATGGATAGATAGGTGATAAAGAAAATACAGTAAAATAAGTAAAATGTTAATGATAGAATCTAGAAATGGTGGGAATACACGGATTCACTTCTTTCAATACCTCTTTGTAATATGAAAAATTTTATGACAAAATGTTAGGGAAATTAAAGCAGGTCAAGGCAGATGTGAGGAAGCAGCAGAGAGAAAGGGCCTGATGCAGTGAGACCCACATTTTGATATCTGGGACCACCTGGTACAGGGAAGCAGATGGACAGTTGACAGCATGTGCCATGTTCCAAAGGCCTTGCCTAGGGCATAAGCACTCAGATTCATTGCCTCTCCAACCTCCTGGGATCTGAAGTGGTGTGCGACCTCTTTCTCCGGACTTTTGCATGACAGCCTTCCTCTCCTTTTAGCTAACCGCTCCTACTTTGGGAAGATGGTCATCCTCTGGGTCACTTTCAACCAGTGTGGCTGCCATGGGTCAAGCTAATACTTTCTGTTTTTCTCCTTGTCTTTCTCCCTGGTGACTTTTAGAGTTGGTGTTGACCCAGATCAAGACCCACCACCCAGCAACGACAGCTTTCAAGTCTTACAAGGGGTAAGTCACAAGAGATGCTTCTTCCCAGGGAAGACGTGATTAAAAATAGCTAAAATGTATTGAGCATTTGCCATATGTCAGGCACTTTACCTGGATTCCCTCATTGTGATCCCAACAACAACTTTATGAGATGTGTACTGTTCTTCTCATTTTACAGATTAGAAGCTGAGGGCTGGGTGCAGTGGCTTAGGCTTAAAATCTCAGAACTTTGGGATGCAGAGGGCAGGAGGATTGCCTGAGCCCAGGAATTTGAGATCAGCCTGGGCAACATAGCGAGACCCTGTCTCTACAAAAAATAAAAAAAACTAGCCAGGTATGGTTGTGTATGCTTGTAGTCCTAGCTACTCAGGGAGACTAAAGCAAGAGGATCATTTGATCTCAGGAGTTTGAGACTGTGGTGAGCTATGATTGCACCACTGCACTCAGCCTGGGTGACAGAGCAAGATCCTGTCTCTTAAAAAAAAATTCAGCAGCAGCAGCTGAAGTTTGGGAGCTTAAGTGAGTCATCTAGGGCCAGAGTAAGTGATAGAGTAAGGATTAGACTCCAGATTTTATGTTCTTAAACAACATTATAAAGGAGATGAGCTGCCCAGAAAGAGCCCCTGACTCCCCACTTTCCAAGAATGGATATATTGGCTCCATAACCGGTTTTGAGTCTATCAGTGGTGTCCAAGAAGGGGAAGGAGAGGGATATGATTTGACTCTCCAGCCCAGAGAAATCTAAGGAGGAGAGGAGAGTCATCGGGTGACTGTAGGAACACCTCTTCTTCCAGGGCCTGGGATTCTCTAGGTTAGGAATTTGGAAAGGGCATTGTAGAGACAGCTTACTTTTGCTCCATGGAGTTCAGGGCTTCAGTTGGGAAAGCTGGGAGGCTGGCTATAATCCAACAGCTTGGGGCTAGAATCTCACAAAGTCTTATGTACTCATGTCTGACACCTGGGCTGGGACAACTCAACCACAAGGACTTCTGACTGGAATATCTGTACATGGCTTCTCCATGTGACCTGAACTGCCCGCTAGCTTGGTGGCCTCAGATTTCTTACATGGTGGTTCAGGGTTCCAAAAGTGAGTGTCCTAGCCAGCAAGGTGGAAGTCACATCACCTTTTTGACCTCATCTTGGAAGTTTTACAATATCATTTCTGTGGCTTTCTGTTGGTTATGAATGCATTCCTAGAACCAGCTGAGATTCGATGGGAGGGGACAGAGACCATAACCTCTAGATGGGATGAGTGTCAACAAATTTGCAGACATATTTTAAAGCTGCCATATCATCCCTGTTGTGCAGTTGTTAGGATGATTTTGTCTCCAAGTTTTGCTTCTTCCCCAGGCTGGCATGTCCTGGGTAGGCAAGGTAGGGAAAGGAGAGTTATGATGGAGGTGGAAATATGTTACCAAAATATGATTATTTGGCCTTGGGAGCTGAAAACTACTTTTTGCAGCATTGAATACCAGGCACTGAGCACAGTGCCTGGCACATGGGGGTACTCAATCAGTATTTGATGGGTAGATGGGGAACTGAGAGACATAACGTGCAGTGGGTGCCTTTACTGACCACATATGTGTGTTGTCCGTGAAACCCTGGTCTCTTTTTCCCAGTTAGCTTTGAATCACATTCATCATTGCACTGAATCCTAAATCCAGTTTGCATACTTCAGATTCCATAGGATCTTCTAAATGATTCCACCTACCAAATCAGATTTAACAAATCCTGCAAAATGTGGTGCTATGTGGGCCCAGGGTATACTACTGTGGCCTTTTCTGGTTTCTTTCTCTTTGAGGGTGGCCACAGCCTGATAAGGCACTTGTAGCACGGATGCCCATTCTAGGTTCCAGCTTAAGGGACACAAAGCCATGACCTTTGAAAGTTCTGGACTTTTTGGGAAGAGTTTTTAATGAGCTTCGTCAGAGATTTGGTGTCCACTTTAATAGCACCCCAGAAAACCTTTGAGATTATATTAGAATTGGCCATTGTGCCCATTGGGAGCATGTGGTTTCAATGAATTCTTTGTGAAAATTTGCTGTTTTGACTCCAGCTTTGATTAAGGACTTTAGAAAACAGGGTTCAGGAACTGGGCACCTGGAAGCTAATTTAGAATATAACAGTGTGCAAGATCTTGAAACTCACCCTGAGAGAACCCCAGGGAGGTGGGGCTGGGGAGGGATGTGATGGACATCTTTCCTTCACTGAAAGGAAGATAATGGCTCTGATAGGACATGGCTGCCCTCTTCCAAAGCATCCTTCACAGAACTGAAGGCCAGTCTAGATTATTTTGTAAGAAAAAAAGGCTAAAAGCAGCTGACTGGCCAGGATTTGGAGAGATACTATCTTGATGATTCTGGACCAGTCAGAACATCCACAGCCCATTTGTTGTTTCCCATTGTTCCTGCCTCTGTATTCAAGTATCTGTGAAAGGAAATAGGTAAAATGGTTTGGCTGGTCATGTAGTAGAACTTACTATACATCTTATAAGACCTGCACACTGGAAACATTGGGCTTGTAATTAGACTCAGTAACCAACTTGTCACTTTTCCATGGAAATGCTTGAGAAGGCTGTGGGTCCAAAGTGCTGAGGGTTCTAGCATTTAGTCTGTGTAGTGACAGGTAAAATAGCAACCCCTCAGGTGGAGTGAACCTCGGGTACCTCTCTGGACAGGTCTGGATGGATAAACTCAGTGTTCCTGTCAGCTCCTGGAGGGACCCTTGTACTGAGAGCACTGTGCGTGTGGTGTTGTGAATGGGCGGCAGTGTCTTGTGCTGTACTCCTAATGGCACCCTGTTTGCCAGCCCTAGCCTGGAGATGTGTCATGGCTTCCCCCTAACCTCCCTCCTTCTAAGCTTCACACAGTCATGTGGAGGTGCTCTTAAAGTCAGTTCCATTGACCTTTTGAAAGTCTTTCAAGATTTCTGTTAGACTGGCAAAAACAGCTCAACTTCAAGCCACTTCAACCCCAGGCCACACTCTTAGAAATGACTCATACTCTTGTATAAAATGGGCCTTATTTCTCTAAATCCTCCAGGCCTGACCTTCTCATTTCAGTGAGTCGCTAACAGCAGGATTGGAGGTGCTCAGTGGTCATGAGAAACAGGAAAACAGAAATAAATGGGCGTCTTGTTTCTTCATTTCTGGGTGAAACCCGCGTTTTTGCAGCTTTCCCTGAAATAGGTCCAGGTCACATGTTCAGTGTTGTCATGAAAGTGAAATCAGAATTAGGGAAAGTCCAGATGTTTGTTCTCCACTAGAAAAAGGGCGGGGATGGGGGGCAGTTCTCTCTACCTCATTTCTAAATGATCTTCCTAAAAACAAGCAAAGTGATATTTGATGGAAAAACATTTCTTATAATGAACACAATTTTCTTCACTGGTCTAGAAGCCCAAGGTTGTAAAGAGAGTCATGGCTAGGGAGCTACAGAATATCAGCTCATATGGGAGAAGAAAAGGATCTCTTGGCTAGAACTTTGGCTTTGTATGAGGAAAGCATAAGAATATCATGGGCAGACTTCAACTTTGTGTCCCTGGCAAGTTTGACTCATTAGAACAAAGTAAGACAAAAAACTCTGCTGCTTTGTTTCTCTGGAGATTTTGGTGGCCTTGCAACCAAAACAAAAACAACTTCAGCTGGAGGCAAGCTGCCCAGACCCGAGGGTGGCTTCCCTCCCCATTAAAGGGGAGATTTTTCATGCCAGACCAGACAGCTGATATTTCTGTTGGCCGGACATGCAGACACATCATTCACTTCCTTCCCCAAGTTTACAGAAGAGCAGTCATTGATGATGCCTTGAAGCAGCTAGGAACATGAATCTGAATTCATCCCAGTTTTATATCAGCAGGACAAGGTCACAAGCTGGATATTAATGTAATGTGGAGGAAAGGAAACCACTGTGCGTGTATGTGTGTGTGTGTGTGTGTGTGTGTGTGTGTGTGTGTGTGGTGAAAGCTGTAGAAAATCAGCTGTTTATAGTTGTGTTGACATATGACTTTCTGAACAAATTGGATTCATTTGTTTCTGGGTCCTCTTCTAATTTTCCTCCAGGCTGAAATCTGATGCCCAGTCATCTAAATCTATAACTTCATACAGTGACTGAGGTACAGTTCTTCCAACTGCTACTCCTTGACTCCCCTTTCCCCAAGCTTTTTGTTCTTCCGCTTGCTTCTCTCGGCCCCTTGATTTCCCTCTATTATTTTTGTTTGTTTTCTGGAATCTCAGAGCCAATACATATTCATCCATTTAACAAATATTTATGGAGCACCTGTTTTATTTCAGACCTTCTTTCAGGCTCTGGGAATACATCTGCAACAAGACAGATAAATCTCCATCCTGAAGGGCTTGGTGACAATGTGATGAAGGGTGAGAAGGGATAGTGACAGAAGTGAGACAGTGGATGACCTTCTCTACCCTTTCCCCCAAGGAATGGAACCTATCTTTGCTGTTCCAAGAGTCCCCATGGGCTAGCAGCCTGGGTGTCATCAGAGAGTTTGTTAGAAATGCAGACTCCCAGGCCTCACCCAGTCCCACTGAAGCAGAAAATTCCCCAGGGGATTTGTATGCACTTTATAGTTTGGCAAGTCCTGGGCTAGGCAGTGTGGAGCTCTTGAGAGAGTTTTAAGCTGAGAAGGATCCATCTATCACTGTCAGAGACTTGATTCCCTGTTTTTAAACCCTGCTAAGAAATTGAGCCCATCATTCCAATAACATGATAAAGGCCCAAATCAAATTACATCATTTACTTACTCTTCTGTATTAATTTTCTGTGACTGCTGTAACAAATTACCAAAAATGTTATGGTTTAAAACAACACAATTATCTTACAGTTCAGTAGATCAGAAATCTGGTGGGCTCAGCTGGTTGCTCTGCTTCAATTCTCTCAAGGCTGAAATCAAAGTGTCAGCAGGACTGGGCTCTGGGAGAGAAGCCACTTCCACCTTCATTCAGGCTGTTGATAAAATTCAGTTCTGTGTGATTGTAGGACTGAGGTCCATGTCCTTACTGACTGTTGGCC